ATATATATATATATATATATATATATATATGCATCAACTCCCTTTTCCTAATATTGTGAAATTCATCACAGAAATAGTAATTTTAAAAAGAAAAAGTCCATTGCTTCGTACATGTGAAAAAATATGAAATGTGATGGTGAGGAGAAAATAAGTGGAGAAGTGGGAGTTGTAGGTGGTTTATAAAACAATTTTTTTTTGTTTTATTTATTTTTTTACTTAATGCACATTCAAATAAAAGCTTATACGTAAATCAAATTTAAATTTGTCTGATATTTTCAGATTTATATATATGAAAATAATTTCTATTTTTTAAATGTAATAATTGAGAACTTTAATTAGTTTAGAATTTAAAAAATTCTGAAGGATTAGGATAGAAGTGGGAAGTTAATGCGTGTCAACCTCCATTCAATATTTAGTCATTTTTAAGCAAGTTTTTCAGTTACTTTAAACCTGTAAAATTGAAATTTGAAGTAAGAAGATCATAAAAAAAACAATAAAGGAAAGTATATAATGATAGTTTTGTGTTGATATAATGACTTTTGTTATCCTATCAACATAGAATTTCCAATATAATTAAATTTGAAATGAGAAAAAAATATCAAATGGCATATCCAAAATTAGAAAGCCATGCCAATGGACTCCTCCTCCGTTTCCTTCATTATCCAATTGTTACAACTCCTCATTTGATAGTTGACTGTTAAGATTTACTGGTTGAATGGATACATAAGCCTTTAATATTTTGTCTTCTAGATAATTACCATACAGTTAGTTATGAGTCATGCTTATCGTTCATTCAATTTTTATATTTCGGTTAAATTCTTTTTAAAATTTTGAAATTAATCTATCTAAAAAATATTTTGAATTAATTTATGAGTAAAGATAATCTCAATTAACGTAGCAGATTCAAGAGGAAGTTTAAGAGAAATGGGATTTTATTTTTAAATATTTTTTAAATTCAAAGATGAGACTTTTCGATGACATATTGAGTCTTTTTTTTTTAGAAATAATTTAATTAACGACGTGAATAACGTGATCGAATCATAATTGGCTTGTGTACGCAAAATGAAAACTTTTTTCAGTTAACAAATAATGACATAAATGAACCTTTTCTCAAAAGGAAATGACATAATTACATAAATAAATCAATTCTTTAACGGATGACATAGATAATTCTTTTTTCAAAATTTGATGACATATTATTTATTAATATATATACAGAGTCCAACAAAAAGTACTGGATTCGTAACAATAGATCCGGCCCTGTCAGAAACCAATTTACATTCCAGAGTATCTTCTACCTTATTCATTAGTACTTGGAATACCTTCATAGATCTATTGCTTTATGCAAAAGGCTGCAATTTCTTGAGTTAACACGTCAAAGTTCTTCTTTTACAGTCATTTGTTATTTTACAATTTCTGTATCTTTGAAGATTTGATAAAGTTAAAAAATAATATGCTTTTACTTTTGTTTGATTTTTCCCTTTTGTGATTGCAGTGGGGTCTAAATTTCCAACATTCTTTTCGTAGAATCCACTTAATAAAACCTTTAAACAGCTGTATCCTGTATGAAACTTTAATTAAGACAATTGTGTTGCTCAAATGATAATAATATCAAAATCTCAACTTTACTATGTATACAAATGATGAATAAATATAAAAACTTTCTTATCTAAGCTAGCTCTACACAGAAATAAGGAATTTAATCTTTTTACCTTAAAATGATCATTTTGTTTTTGACAGAATGCTGCAGCCTCTTATTCTTATTACGTGCTTTCATGGTTTGACATGCATATACTCCGTTTACTGTTCCCTCGTTATTGAGCTGCACGATTTAATGCTAATCTAACTTGTGCCTGTCCTCCTGCAACATTGTAACGAACTTTGAGATCCTAGCATCAAGGTGATGAGCTATCGTCATCCCAACTCCTATCTTGTCTCGCGTTGTATCTGTTTAAGACTGGTAATGATGCAGTTGTAGCTATTCTGAATGATCTGGCAGCACCAACCATTGTTCTATCCTGCATCATTCCGACATCTTTGCACACGCTATCCAATATGCAGAGGAAGTCTCTTACAATCAGAAATATTCTGAGAGGATGAGCTTCTTCTTTGGCAGCATCGCCATGGAAATATTCCGTTACCTCTTTGACCATCGACAAAGCTTTTCTCTCTTCCGCCTTGATCCTCACAATACCATCTTCTGCCTCCTTTAGAAATACTTTCATTGACTCAAAGAAGTTCCCTTCCATGCATGTCTTTTCGTACTGCAAAACCGACCTAACTTTAACAAGTCCTGCCTCAAGCTTTGATACGTAGCCACTTAGGACATCTGAGTCCATTCCTGCTGCTTTTTTGACATTGCAAAGTTCTCTGCTTAATCCGCCAACTACCTGCAACCCTTGCTTCTTGAATTCTTCCTCTTTGAATTTGATATTTGATAAATTATTATCGTCCGAACTCAGACCTTCTGATCTGATAATCTCCTGAACCACAAAGTGAAGCAAGGTTGTCTTTCCATCTGTTCCCTTTATATCTATTAATTTCAAAAGAGTTTCGAGTTTGAAAGCTCTTGCATCACCGCGGTTAGTGCCAACATTCATGCGGTTTCCTGCTCTCAGAACAGCTTCAAGGAGTTTGAAGAATAGTCTGCTGTTCTTCAGTTCTTGACTTGCTTCCTGTTGAAAATTGGCTCAAATTTACCAGTGCAACAAGTGTCGTAAAGATTCTTAGAAATGGCTCATCAATAGACATTAAAATCAAATCCAAATTCAGTAAATAATGAATGTGTTTCATCCTAATCAAAGTCAAGGACGGAGCCATGTGGGAGCAAGAGGTTGGCTGAAAAGTTACACTATATATGCAATGTTTAATTATTTTCTATGTATAAATAGAAGATGTTGAATCCTCTCAACTTCTTCGTATTTTGAACTCCCTCAATAAACATTCTGGCTCCGCCACTAATCAAAGTAATATATGTATGAGTTTTAAAGGACTGATAATACCTCAAGTGTCTGGAAAGACTTCCTCAAATCCTTTACTTCAGCATCAAAATTTGCTCTATACAGCATGGCTTCTACTCTTTTGAAGGCAAATGGAATATCAAGAATAGCCTTGAGGAATCGCTCTGCCGATCCTAATTTTGAAGTGTCCCCATTGTAATCTCTTAGTTTTATCTCTTCTTCCTTTGTTGGAGCCATCTTGACCAAACTCTCGAGAAGTTCAGGCCCCAATCCTTCTGCACTTCCTGTTGTCATCAAAATACATTCTCATATATATGAATTTTGAAGGAATACTTTCCATGACGATCAAAATAAAATTTAGCCATCATGTAAAATGTGTTTCATGACAAAGATATTTTCTGGTGTTTGGTTTACTAAACCAAACAAACATCGGAAAACATTTTTCATGAAAAATGACTTCTGTAACACCAGAGCACACCTTATTAATGCAGAGTAGAAGATTTCACATCATACCATCTAAAAGGGATTCAGAGACTTCATCCTTTGTTACATTCAATGCTCTCAACATTATGGCAATGTTCTGTGATTTTTTCGGGTCAAGAACTCTGTTCTCCTTCTCAACCGTAGGACGGACTGATTTCTTAGCGACTTCATTTGGTACTGAATTTACAGAATTACATCCAAAGAGTGACTCCATCATGTTTTCATTTAATCTGAAATACATATAAAGATATTTATGATATGAAACTACATGCAAAATAAACATATCTTTGTTAATCAACTTACTGGAAAGAGCTCGATTTCAATTGATCCCACACTGTTGCTCTCTCAGAAGTCGCTCGTACTTTGTCCCAATGTAAAGGCTTCAACCTGGGCTTTGATTCATCCCTAGTGTCGGTATCATGTATGGCTTCTCCTCTTTGTTCTTCCAAATGACTTCTCTTCTCACTCACAACATAACCTGATCTTGGTGTGGGACTACTTGATTGAGGCTTTACAGATAAAGAACTTCTTTGTGATCGTGGCGGCTCAATAGAATTGGTGACCTAAAAACAAAATCATCATAAACTCATTTCATATGAGTCATATATTAATGAGACACAAAATAACCCTCTTTCTAATTCAAAGAAATATATAATATAACCCTCTTACCCTTGAGGCAACTTTGCCTCCGAGGACTCGAGAGGTTGATAGTGGAGGTGGAGGTGGCGGAGGAGGAGGAGGAGGAGCTGAAGGTTTTGATGTCTCTTGTAATTGGTTGTTTGGTGATTTGAGCCTGGACATATCTGGTGGAGGAGGTGGTTGTGAGAATTTCACTCTTTGTGGTACATAAGTTAGTGTTGGCTTCTTATGCTGCTGCAATGTAACTTCTTGTGATGGTGGTGGAGGAGATGGTGGTGAAGTTTGCTTAACTGATGGTACAATTATCGCGCGTTTTATATCAGGAGATGAACACGAAAGAGACAATCTAGGGGATGTTCTCTTTGAATGAGGAATCGAGTTATTTGATCTTGTCATTATGCCAGTACTACTACTACTAATATTATATGGTTTGTAAATTTTGGTTTCATCGTCATCAGATGAATTTATTATGGCAGGAGGAGTGAAAAATGTAGGATTATTTCTCAATGAGGGAAGTGGTTGGAGTTCTGGACTTGGTCTATACCTATCTGATTTCTTAGCAGGACTCAATTTCCTGTAAGGGGAAGTATTATTAGCAACAATGGAGTGATTAATTTGGGTTTGTGAGGCTGCTGCTGCTGCTGTGGCTGATGATGATGGTTCAACAGTACCAATGTAAAGAAAATTAGAAGGTGGCATTCTTGATTCTTCTTGAAAACTATTGGTGTTGTGGTTACTAACAAGTTTTTGGGTTTCATCTGGGTGTTTTGTTTTGTGTTTGTAGATGTAGAATCCCAAAGCAGATAACATTCCAAGAGTAACAATTCCAACAGAAACTGCAATTGCAAATTTCTTGGTTGGGTTTGTTGGTTGAGGAGCAATTGAGTTGTTTCTTGAAATTGGTGTCCCATTTGGTTGAATTTGTTGTTGGGGTTGATCTGGGGTTTGTACAGTTGGGACTTCTGGGAAAAAAGGGTGATCTGGGGTAGGGAAAATGGGTTCAGAATTGATTTGTGGTGGTGGGGGTGGGGATGATGAAGTAGATGGAAAGAGGGGTTGATGAAGAATTCTTCTGGTTAAGGGATTAATGTCAATGAGATGTTGAATTTGTGTGTGTTCTGCTGCTGCTGTAATAGAAGATGCAGTGATAACAATTAGTACTAATAAAAAGTTGTAAATGGGATGAGCTCTCATTGTGTTGTTGTTTTTCTTCTTCTTTTTCTACAATTCATCTTCTTGTGGTTTTTGTTTCCAATTTCTTGAGATGGTAGAGAGAAGCTTCTAAGAGCAGCTACACTTTTAAAAGGGGTGTGGTGGAATCAAGATTTGTGCTTCTAGTGAATTTTGGAATAATAATAATAATAATAATAAATAATTATTAAAATTAAAAAGAGATGTTGTGATGGGGTTAAAATTAAAGGACCACGTTGATGTCCTTTACGGCTTGTTTGGGTGATTTATACGTGTCGTTTCATAATTTATCATATTGTATTGTATAATTTCGAAAGTTAATGATCGAAAACAAATTAAATTACTACTTTTTTCAAAAGTTTTACAGTTTGACTATCCATTATCCTTATTGCTCTTCATATGAAAGCACACATCGATGATATGTTGACCAAAATATTATTCTCACATGATAAAAAGTATGTGTAGACCGACTCAACATTGAAGTGTGTTTTAATATACAAAAAGTGATAGTTTAGATTATGAAATTCGTGAAATGTAGTCATCAGTCGAATGACCTAGAATTCATTTTCCCTCAATACCTTCATAGTCGAGTCCATCACATATGATTTGCCTAGTACGATTTACATTCTCTGTATGATTTGCATGCTATTACATAATGAAGATTTACCTAGTGTGCACAAGGTGGTCGCCACAAAGTGTTATAGCGATTGCGAATTATTCATGTATTTCAGAAACAATTCGTGGACAGGTGATACTAGACATCCGAATAATTAGAGGTCATTGAGTATGCACTTTCAAACACCTCAATTTACAAAATGATTATCTAGATTCCTTCTAAATTTATGTGTCATGTCAACATCAAATTAAATTATCTAGACATATGCTCTCAAATTTAAATACTTACTTAACAAGTATAGTATGGAAAAAAAGGTTGCCTTGCATTTAAATTGACCGTTACTTAAAATGAATGTATTAATACTCCAACTAGCTTTGTCATTTATTAGTGGTGACTTTGTGAGTGGGGATAGTATAATTTCTTTTTCTTTTTTTTGCATAAAATAAAATAGAGAGTAGTAGCCCACATGATTAATTACTGTACCCGTCAAAAGCTAAATCTACCTAACCATATTTTCAATTTTCGCCCTCCGTATTTGGATTGACTTAAAAATTGGTTAAATATATTTTTAAATCAGTTTTTAAGTTCTGAAAATGTTTGACAAATATAAAAAATAACTTAAAATAAGTCCAAAAAAAACAAAAGTAGGTCTCTTCCTACTTTTTATTTTTTTGACTTAAAAGTCATTTCAATTTAACCTAAAAGCTATTTTTTTTTAAAGTCAATTCCAACGGAATCATTTTATATCAACCTACCTATTTCTTATCAGCTGAGTTATTTGGCCTGGTTTCAAATTAATTCCTTTATTAAAAGATTGTTATAATTGAAACACACATCGATTTACCTATTTTTTGTGTCCTTGCAAATTATTTGATCTATTATTTAATATTGTTATAATTAAAGCATGTATAATTGACCTGATTTCAAACTATTTGCTTATTTAATAGAACTAGTTAATTACCTTGAATGATTATAGTAAATTTATTGTGTTCTCGTTATAAATCTAATTCTAACAGGTAAAATATAATTTTTAAATATTATATATAAATATCTTTTTTTTTCGGATCAGTTCCAAAACTCATGACAATACCAATTCAAAAATTCGTTCAAACATCCCAGGCCAAAAGTTTGATAGAATATGTTTTCTATTATATCTCGATCATATCGATTGTATTCCCTCCGTCTCAAATTGTGTGGTAATTTCTAAAATGTTTAAGTCATTCACGATTTCTTAAAGTTTTTTACGTGATTTACTTAGACAGTTCAACTCAACATTATACCTATCAAACACTAACATACAATTAGTTCATAAATTTAGAATTTAGTAAATTTTCCAAAAGAAATTTAGAATTATAAATTCAAGTTTTTTATTTTCTTACTTTTAAAAGAACTTTATTTAATATGTTAGAAGTTTTAATTAAACTATTCAATCTTGTATTAATAATATAAATATAAATAAAGTTCTTAATAATAAGATCTATTACAGTGTATTGTAAACACATAGCTAAAATCCCCTTTACTTAAAATAATCTTTGTCAATATAAATAAACAGTATTATCAACCTATGGAAAAAAATTGTATATAAAAAGAATTTTTTTTGAGATATTTACCCAAATTTTATATGTTTATCTAATATTTTGGATAGGTACCTTTCTAAAACTTTACCTAAATACTAATATACATTTTTTAAGTGATACATGTTGCCAGACAATTATTATTTTACAACATCAATATATGCATATTTGTGAGAATTTTGGGTATACCAATAGTGTTTTTTATTGTTCTTGAAATTTGTCTGGAAATTGTTCTTGATTCCTCACTCTTTATGCAAGCCCTTTTAGCTAATTTTTTATTTTTTGCCCCCACAAATTTTCATTTCTTGGACTAACTCAAATCTTACCATTGCACATAGTTTATTACATGAATTTATCTTTGTTGTGGTTAATGCAGAGAGATGTGATATATAGTTACTTGATCCATATTGTTGACTTATGTTATTTTGGATAATGACAAACATGTATTGCAGGGGCATCAGGAAGGGACACGATTGATCCACTAAATTACTAAAGAAGTGGATGCAGTAAATCAAGGATTTGAATGATTCTCCAAAATCAATTCAATCCACAATTAAATCAACTCTAATGGAGCCAGAAAGGTAAGAGCAAAATCCAACCTTCAAGATAGCAAGAAAATCATAACCAGCATTTCAAAGATATCTGATAGACAATCAGTCAAATATCGATTCAAAGCTATCAGATAGACAATCAAATCTGCCAAATATCAAGACTACAAGAAGATCTTAAGATTAAGAAAAGGAAGATTATCAAGATCACAAGAAGATCTACAAGAAAATTAAGAGAGGTGAATTAAAATTCCTTTAACAGGAAATTTATGTATAAACTTACGATTTAATTCATACTTATGCATAAACCATTTTTTATATACATTTTATACAAGATTAATATATTATGTATGATGATTCTTTTCCAAATATATATTAATCTAATTGACATAAATATTTTCAAAAATGGTTTACGTTTGAAGATTTTCCAAAAAAAAATATCTCGTTTCTTGTATATTCTTTCCAATATACAAGATTAATATATTGTGTAAAAATTGTTACACAATTCTCGAGAGTTTGAAGTGAAATGGTATTTCCCTTTTCCCTTTTTGCGGGTTCGTAATTTGAGTAAGGGTCTTTCACCTATCTAAATTCGGGCTTTTATGAACTCTCACCCTTTTTTTGGGGGGGAAATAAAAAATAGAGGAGATTTACTTTTGATTTTTGACTTATTTTAAGTCATTTTAAACTTATTTCAAGTCATTTTCTACCTTATCAAACACTTCTTAACTTATTTTAAATCATTTTTTACTTTTTTTTTTATATTTGTCAAGCACTTCTAAAAGTAAAAAACTAACTTAAAAGTAGATTTGACCAATTTTTAAATCAATCCAAATATCCTCTTAATTTTGCGTAATTTTTAACGTTTTCTTCTTTTTAGAGTCACTTTTCTATTTTATCTAAGTTTATAATAATGGGCCGATAAGCTCACCATCTAATTTGCTTCATATTTTATAGGATAACTACAAGATATGTTTCATTCTTTATTAGAATTTACGAGTCGGAGATTTGAATATGAATTTGCTTTCAATAGAGAATAATTTATCCCTAAAATATAAATTTAAATTAAATAAGCTTCAAAATAAATATCAAATAACTGAATAAAAAGTAAAAAATAAAGTCTTTACTTTTGTTTATTTTGTTTATATTTTAGTGAATCTATTGTTGTAGGAGTTAGGACTACACAAGCAGACAGTGTAACCCTTTTCATTGCTCACCGCGCACTCTTATCATTAATGCTTTTGTGATTATAATATGTATACTTCTTTTCCGTCCAATATACTTGTAAAATATTTTTTAATTTGACATATTTTTTATTTTATTTTTGATAAATTAAGGAGAGATAATTTTTTCCTATTATATTCTTAAGTCATTATTACCATTAAGTTAATCTCTTTAAAAATATAGTGAGTAAATATATTTGGTATCTTATTGATTAATAGGGATAAAACGATAAACGCATTATACCAATTATTATTATTTTCTTAAAGGTATGTCAAGTCAAAATTTGACTAGTAAAAAGGAGAGGCTGGAGGGAGTAATAAAAGTTTTAGTCTTCTTATTTGCTCTCTCTATCTAATAATAGTTGTCTAATATTTGACTTGACACACTTTATGAAACAATAAAGGAAAAATGGTTTGAAAAATACTTCAACTTTGATCGAAATTGTTGTTACGATACCAAACTTTATGGAGGACCTTTTACCCCCCTACACTATTTAATACTGTATTTTAAAAGTATATATGTGCCCACGTGGACACGTTACTATTTATAATTATGCAATATTTATGATGTCCACGTGGACATATATATACCTTTAAAATACACTATTAAATAGTGCAAGGGGGTAAAAGGTCATTGGACAACAATTTCGGCCAAAGTTCAGATATATTTCAGATTTTTTTCCCAAACAATAAATAATAAGGGTATTGTATTATCTTTTGAATATATTAAATTTAATATTTTGAAAAATATATTAGATATTGAATATTATTTAATAGTAAGGGTAAAATATACACAAAATGATAAATTATATCTTGATTTTTCAAACTGGACAAGTATTGTTGGACAATTACTTTTAGTATTGTAAACAAGTAAAGATGGACGGAGGCAGTGGCGTAGCTAGACATTTATTTATGCTTCAAGATTTCAAGAACCTTTGATGACTAACAACAAGAAATGGAAAATACGAGTAGAATCAAACGAGTTATATTAAAAGAAATTTATATGGAACCTTTTCACTTTTAGTACCTTTATGGAATAAATAAAAGAATTTTCTTATTAACTTTAAATTAAATAATTAATTTTAATTATTTAATTATTTAATGAAAAGAAAAAATATCAAAAGTCAAATAACAGATTTATTATTTTTGAATAACAGATTTATTAA